AAATAAGCAAAAAAAAAAAAAAAAATGTATCCTATGTTGACAACGGGCACGAGTTTAATATATATGTTCATGATGTGTATAATATTAACATATCATACACTGTAGGTATATATATATGATTAAAATATTCGTATATGGTTGAAAGATAAATAAAATTTTGACACTTATCTATGGATGTATATTAATATGTTCACGATAGATGAACAATCAAGAATGGTAATATTTTTTTATCAAAATAATCTATGTAACCAATTGAAGTTTAATTTACTATGCTAGTGAGTAGCGTACGTAAAAGAGTTAAATGTCTTTCAACAACTACATGGCAATTTGTTTATTAAAATAATTTATGTAGTTTAAATTGAAATTTAATGTCTTATGCTAGTCAGTGTAAATGGATGAGCAAATTTGTTTATATATCGAAATAGTTTATGTATATTGTTGAAATTTAATTTATTATACTAACTAGTCAGTGTAAATCTATTGTCAACTCTTGTAGAATCTTAGGTTTACAGCAAAATCTAGCCATTAAATTTAAAGGGATTATAATTAATTATTAACGACATGAACAAAACTAGGTATATTTTTCTCAAACATTATTATGAGCCTCGAACACAGCAAAACATTTGTCCACATTCTCAACATTATGAACTCTATTGTCGCACGACCAACTCCATTCTCTAACACTACAGTGACCCACAATGATTTGAGCTCAAAATTATTAAATAGACCTATAATTTGTCCACAGATATACAAAAAACATTGGTTTATACGAAAAAAATTACATACTAACACATATTCGAATACAAGTATATGTAGAATCGAAAAGAAGCCAATTTATACACTGAAAACATTAATTACACTTTTATAGTAATATAGTATGCATATTAATATTTTTTATTCATTGCCTACTCGAATTATTTAAAAAAAAAAAATATTTTGATAAATTGATCGAATAGTATGATTCTGAATTAGTTGAATAGCAAGTAAATATTGTTAACGTGAGCCCATTGGTAATATTCTTTAGTTTAGCCTTTCCAATATTGGTAATATTTATATGAATAAATTAATTGATTTTGAATTAGACGTGAGCCACATTGCAAACTGTATTCCCATAACCCAATTTAAAAATATATACATACGTTATTGCAATTTTAGGTTGCCAATTAGATGTACTTAGTGTGAGTACCAATTATCCAGACACACCTATATGATTAAAGAGAAAAAGGAATTATCAAGTTGATTTGAATAGTTTTCAAGTTACTAACTATATAATTTGCTTTCAAGTTTATTTAGAGATAAGGATAAATTAATAAGCCTAAATGATCAATTTATGGAGAAAAAATACACACTTTTAACTAGACTATGGAACGACAATTCACAAATTGAAAGTCCATTTTTTTCTATTCAATCCCCAATTGCACTAATTTTATTGAATATTTTTTTTAAAATAATTACGCGGAGTGGTTAAAGAAAAACATCTTTAAAAAGTCAATTATTATGTATATAACAATTAATGTCCCTTTTGATGATACCATAAGATGTTGAACCAAACAAATTTGAATCCTTATATGAAAACTGAAATGAAATTGTGTGAAGCCCCACACCCTTGTGACAAAATTATTGGACATGTTGCACGTTAAAGTCATTTAATTGGCAAAAGGACTAATGATAGAAATTGAAACTTAAGGTTTAGCCTTGCTAATTAGCAAAATCACCAACTATATTAAAAAAATGGCGAGTTGTCCTTGAGGTGAGGTATAATGTACACACTCATCTTACATTGTACATGCATTTATACGTGAGAGATCAGTAAAAATCATTGACGTAATAAAAATTTGCAGTTTTGCTATGAAGCTATCGAATGGCTCGACTTATGAAGTCATCTATAGTTATTCACAAATGATGTATTGACACGTGTCCTGCAATAATATTATGGACAGCTCCATAAGAGAGTCATCCGATGGCTCCATAGAATTTTTCTTGTTGGTATTTTTTATATAATTTATAATATTCAATGTATTTCTTGTAATTAGCCAAATTTATGGGGTGTATTTGTGATTATCCCCTTGTTAAAACAATGCAAAAGCAAAGGATAATTCATCAAGGGCTAGGATTTAATCAAAGATAGATCAATCATAGAGAGATGTTTATGAATCATGTGCCTACATAAACCCTCCTTCAGTTGGTATAATCTTCCCTTTTGATTGTTCAAATAACATAAAGAGATCAAAAGAGAGAAAATAAAAACTCCATACTCCCTCCCTCTAGCTGTGAAAAAGGCTTGATATTTTCATCTTTTTTCACATTTTCCTTGGTTTTCATTTTTCTTTCACTTTTCCCTTTTTCTTAATGGCATCTTTATTGGACAATCTGAATCAAATCCACAACAGGGTACTTGATAAATCGATACAGACCCTTTTACTCTTGCCAGCAGTCCTACTTTCATGCCTTGTGATGATGCCAAAAGGCTCTCTATTGCCTTACTCATGTGAGATTGTTTTCTCAAATCTAATAGGATTTTGGAACTCAATCAAATGCGTGCTCTCTTCTCATCTCTACATTTGCATCATCATAAACCTCATGGTTTTGCTAATATTAGCCTCCTCCTCAACTTTCCACCAACCCGAATTCGAAAACCAACAAGATCAAATCACAACAACAAATGATTCGCAAAATTCCGAATCACCACCACCACCATCAGTGCCGGAATCAAGTTCGAACATTTTCACCACCGCCTCGACTTTTTACCAAATTAGTAATCTTGACGAAAGCTCAACTCATGTTCGACAAAATCACACGAAACAAGCAACACAAGAAGACCTTGATATGAGAAGAACAGAACTATATCCACCTAATGACTCCACGGAAGAAAGACCGGTGGAGGAAATTAATTTCTCGGAGGAGGACAACACAATGGAGGCCACCTGGCGGTCGATAACCGAAGGAGGAAAGCAGGGGACGAAAAAGAAAGAGCTAAAAAAGAGCGAAACTTGGAACGTGCAGCCGAACGTGCAAAGGTTCGACTCGGAGGAATTGGTGACTTCAACTCCAAAGTGGAAGGAGCTGAGAAAGTCGGAGACTTTTAATGATTCCGTGTCGATAACGTGCAGGGGAGGGCTCAGACGGGATCCCTCAACGAGCCTTGAGGAGTTCAATAAGCAAGTTGAGGACTTTATTCAAAAATTCAATGATAGCATGAAGCTGCAGAGGCAAGAATCTGACCAAAGGTTCTTGGATATGATGAAAAAAGGAATCTAGTTCATCTTCAGTTTGGCTTCTACTGTACATAAAGATCTTGGATTAGTGTCTGATGTAGATTTCATTTTTCTTTTCCTTTCCTCCTTTTTTTTTTTTTTTTTTGTTTTTTTCAGGTTGGAACCTAAAATTACTATACAAACAAGTCACCCCACTNACTTGTCTCGACTTGTTTTAAGGTGAATCGATAAATCTAGTTTCTTTTTATTTTTCTCTACAGATAAGATGACCCACGTAAATTATCAATCATAATATTTTCTGCTGGATGGTTCGAGCATTTGAAACATTTGGAGAATGTTTATTTCTGGTTGGTGATTTTAGTTTAGTCCCCTTGAGAGAATCTTGCTAACCACTCCCACCTAGACGTTGACATGTCAATACTATTAAGATCATAATTTTCATAAAAATGAGCATTCATTTTCCTCTCTCTGTTAAGTGACGAGACTGGAAAATTCGTGGCTACCGAACCAAGTTTTCTATTTGTTGGATGAACACACGAAACCATCTTTTTTTTTTCACTTTTTTCCTTCAATAGAAAGATGCAAGAACAAATATGCAATTCATTGAAATTTTAGAAATTAATTTGTCCTGTGCAAATAGCATAATAGTAAGTCCACAGTGTATAATAGCATGTCAAAGTAGATTCTGCTACATCATCCATTCACCTTCAGAGCATTTAACCACAACCCAAAATAGAGTACTAATATCCATACTACACAAGCCTAAAATAACAAGCCATATCAAACGGGCATATTTAAAGGCCTCATCAAGCGACGACACATTACCAGCCTCAAAATTCCGAGACTTCTCAATGGGAGTTTATCACAAAACTTCAATCAAAGAAAAGGTAAATTACAAACAGGCAAACCTTCCCTTGTTCCTTCTTTGAAAATCTTTCAATCCATCAGAATGTTACAATGTATAATCAAATAGCCTTATAACTTTCAGGAACACAGCTTTTACTTGACACAATATCTTTCTCCATTCTTTCTTCTCGAGTACTTCATATTAAAGGCAAAAACTGAAATTCCCAACCACAAATTGCTCATTCGAAGAGAAGGTTCCTATTACCTCTTTAAATTATATATTCACCAAAAAAAAGGTACCGTCAAAGCAACAAGCACTTAAATGGCATTAATTCGCCTGGAAATCCAAGAATTGTCGCAACTTGTGTACAAGAAGCTCGGTTGTACCGTAAATGGGTTTGCTGCTAATAATCCAATCCTTCTCCAAAAGTCCCGCTTTCCCACTGTTTATCATCTCATCATGGAAAGCAGAGACTAAACAGAAAACAGAAGTTTTCAGGACATCAGCAATAAAATATGCCTCGTCATAAAGAGGGCTTCCTCTTATTTTTTGCATTGCGCCAGACGTAGACTCTCGCCTGCCAGTGTTGACCGTGGCCCATTTGATTCTGGCAGGGCCCATCAAATGTGCGGACTGCATGTGGGTCTTCTTTCCCATGAGAGTCTCGACTGCTAATAAGGCAGACAACAAAGTCGAGATTACAGCAGCATTGCTACCTGAGATTTGGGCGACGCCAAATTTGTCCTCCTTATGTGACCTTGCAGTCAATGAAGCAAGGATACGGGCACACCATGCACAAAGCTGCTAGATATGTAATTGGTAAAATATATTAGTGATAAATTGTTGGACGAGATATAATTGCAGGAATATCTTATTAGGATGGTTTAATAAATCCTCCATTTAAATGACAACCAAGTTGAAAGTTAATTAACGCGTCTATTTATTCACAATTTGGGTGACGGCCAAACAAGTAAAGAGGAAAACTCAACGGAAATCAGCAAATGGCCATCTCTTTCCAGTTCATTAACTTAGTTATCATTCACCTCATTGCTTAACCTTCATTAAACCATCGCATCATGTACGAATGAAATCACGTCTTTTTGCAACTTATCAACAACCAAAACACAGCTGAATCTCAAGACAACCATATCTAAAGTCTATTGAACTAAAGTCTTCTATCTAATATTTATACACAGCTAATTAGTTTGCAATTAAAACATCCATTCTTCTATTTTCTATTCCATTCCCCCTGTCTACAGATAACATGGCTTATAAGGCAAGATGATTCAAATTAGCAATCTGTCAATCTAGCTGCTAAACAGAAAGGACCCCCATAAAATTGTTTGAAATGATTAACTAAAATAAGTTTGCCCAACAACCTGGAATTTTCAGGTACGGTTTAGAAGTTAAACTATCCAATATCTATACAGCAACCAAAACCACCATAAACCTGTATCACAATACGTCACATCCAATGGGTGTATTGTATTATATGCATAATCAATTACCCATAAAACTAAAAAGAACCAGATCCTGAATACTGAAAATCATACCTGGGAGTCGAAAAATGATTCGTGGAGTTTCAAAACTGCAAGCCGCTCGGTTGGTGAACTCAGCTGATCTGATAACTGCATTGACTTTTCAGATGACGAGCTCTGTAGACCTTCAGCAAGATTTTTCGTCAACTCTTCCAAAGGCCACAGGCAGGCAGCTATCACTCTTTTATACGTTTCCCCAGTTTCCTCAAAGAATGCAGCTCGACGCCACGTATCAACATTGTTTTCACATACCATGCAGAGATCAAGATAAGCAAGGTATTGTAAAAGTGATTTTGGCATGCTCTCCTCTAATGTAGCCAGTAGGGGCTCGCTTGGATTTGTTTCTGCTGCTGCTGATCCTTTAGATGGTGCAAACAGAAATCTCTTAGTATGCAGCACCTGCAAGCCACAATTGTGTTCCATGCTTTCAGTAGCTATTTATAGTCATGTATTACACAAATATAAAGTTCTTGAAGACTTAAAAAATAACTATTTGAAGGAGAAACCTGGTGTAAGTGATGAGCTAGTTCCCAACAAAGAATTACTACAAAACTCCCAATATAGAAAACGACTTGTTCAGCAACAAACTTTGACAACGAGCCCTGACTTCCGTACTCCATATGCAGGAAGAAAGCCATTACTCCTGATATTACAAAGCCAAACGCAGATAACTTCAATGCACGTCGTATAGCTAAAGGAAGCCCCATTTTGAAGCTGAAAAATGGAGGGCGCTGTTCACAGAGGTAGGTGGGCTCAGTGCATTACATCAAACAAATCAAATCATAGACGTAAAAGTTCAGAATCAATATAATTAACAAGAACATCAAGCTCAATAGTTCTTCATGTGCAAGATTTTTTATACTCATTGTCGCGAAACCATATGCAAAGGATGCTTCCAAATCAAATACAGCACCACCATTATTGATTGATCATCCAATGTATTGTGTGCCCAAATCAATTGAAAAAATAAACATATAAACCCACAAATTACCTGAATAATCGGAAACATCAAGACCCACCGCCTCTTATACACATAATGCACCCCGTAAAACAAACCGAGCACAAAGCCCCTAAATCCTAAAATCCCCAAAACGCCAACCTCCTTCAACCTCGAACCTCCATCATAATAAGCATCGCAACCCCAGCACACACAAATCGCCGACAACGCCCCCGCCACAGCACACAGGCTCACAAACAGCACGAAGCTCAACGACACCCTGACCCTCCTCCTCAGCAAGCTCCGGTCACCTCCGGCGACAAAAATCAGGCGAACGAACGAAACAGAGACTTCAAAGGGGGAGGCGAAGGGGAGAGGATGAGGAGACGAGACAAAAAAGAGGGAAACCGATAGGAGGAGGAGAGCTAAATGGAAGGAGACGAAGGAGGCGAGCGAGAGGAAAACGGGAGTGAAAGGGTTTTGGGTGAAGGGGAGAAGAAAGAGGGTTTTGGCGAGGAAAAGGAGGAGGGTCGATTGGAGGAACTGCCAGATCAAGAAGCTGAAGAATCGGTGTTTGACGATCGTGTCGCCTCCGGCCCATCCGCCGCCGTCCTTGTCTCTGAAAAGAGTCCGGTCAAATGCGGCGGAGACTGACATTTGGAGTGGCGGTGTGTAGTGTAGTGAGCCTTGCGATGGAGAAGGGGCGGGAAGATGGGTAGGGTTTTAATGAAATTATACACTTTTTTCCACTCCCTCAAAATCAAAGAATTGTATGATTGGTAAAGCTGTAAANAAACTCGGTTTGATTAAATTTGAGCAAAGCTCGTTCATTAGTTATTCGAGCTTCAAAAACCGATTTTCATGACACCAGAAAATCGACCGGATTTTAAGCTTAGTTATTCAACCGATTTTGACAAGTGTATGTGATAGGGGTGTTCACGGTCCGGTATTAACCGAAGAAAACCGTCAATCCGGACCGCGAATCGGTTAAATGGTCAGTTAAAAAAATCTCAAAAAATCCGGTGGTTAATTTTTTTAAAAATCCGGAATAATCGATCCAGTTAATGGATTACCTGCGACAAATCGTCGGTTTAACCGGACCGGACCGGTAAATATTAAAAAACTATAACAAATATATATATTCATTCAGTCATTCACTATGGCCGACAAATACAATACATTCACTATGGATGCTTTGCTCTTATTATTTCAGGTGTATAAACTGACTGAAAAATAAATTCTTGCTTGGGTTCAGTTTGCATAATTTAATCTTAATCTTTTTTGTATTTTTATGTTTATGGGACGAAATGTGTATTTTTATGCTTATGGGACGAATTGTGTATTTTTTATTTAATTATTGTTGTTTTTCTTAATTTTTAGGCACAAATAATCTCTTTTGGGCTCAAAATTGAAAAATAAAAATTAAGCCCAAAATGAAAAAAAAATAAGAATTGAAAGCCCAAAATAAGGATTTTGGATTTAACCGGTTAACCGTCAAACTGGACCGTCCAATGCGGTCTGGATTGTTATTGGTTAAAAAATAAAACCGGTCCGATTATGGACAAGAAAAAAAATTAACCGTTAGGTACGGTTTAGTCATAGTTTGGGCTAAAATCGAACTAATCCGGACCGTGAACATCCCTAGTATGTGAAGCTAGTACGTTGAGGTCTTTTAAATAGCAAGTCGATTAGATATCATATGAAACCTATCACATTATCTTCCCTTGCAATGTACAATTTTAACATTTTGCAAACATTGAATATTTGAAATGTAGCACAATTTCAAACGCTTTTCATAGGTGGAGATTCTTTGTTGTCCACATTGAGAAGCCATACAGTTGAATTATAACAAAAAAAGGGAATGTTCTCATTAAGTGCAGTCTCATAGGGCACACACTGCAAATCAATTTCGAGTTTGCAAGACAAAGGCTTTACTAACTCTTTATCATGCATATTCAAGACATTAGCCAACTCTTAATCATACATACATGTTCAAACTCGATAGTGAAATTATTCATCAAAAATTGTTTGAACAATCTAGTAAACGAATATTTTAAAGTTATTTGATTAATGCAAGTTGATTTGTTTGAAATCACTTGAGCTCCAAAATGAAAAAATTCGAAAACTATATTTGATACTTTATAATTTTTTATTAAAACTATTATACATAAAAGTAAATAGTAAATTAAAATATAATACATATTGCAAACCGAACATGCATTAACATGCTTATGTTCGTACGATTAACAAACGAGCTAAAAAGTGTCCCTTTCCCAAGCTTAAAACCGGTAGCAACCAAGCCTTATGCCTACCACAACTTAAATAAAAAAGTAGTTTATTGATGACCCAGGATTGAGATTTGAGAGCATCACATAAGTTTAATATGTTCCATTTGTTGGTTGTTGCTAACACTGCAGCAAACCTGTCGCACAATCCAAAACGAAAACACGTTAATGTTTCACTCAGGGTATCTATAATGCATTGAGTCTAGTATTGTAAGTAAATTTAAGTCTTAGATGACATGGATAAAACTATGTAAAATTAACAAAATCTACTCCAACGCAAAAAAACTAGGTCTCTTTTTTTTTTTTTCAACTGGGAGGTATCCCCACATTCATCTTGGGATAATATATTTTTTTAGACTGTGTACTTCTTAGGTTGGCATATAATTTTTTGGGATTAAACCCAAAGTATCGAGGATGCTATTATCGCGGGCCGCAACATATAAGGGTAAAAAAAAGTTGATCGCTTATCATCTTTCTCGAGGGGAAAAAAAAAAAGAAAAAGATATAAATATTTATGTTGTCCATAACAGAACAAGAGATGTGACTCGGAAAGTTCTTATAACTGAAAATAAAACCTCAACGATTGCCATGATCTTATTACTGACTGAGATATCAATGAGAGCCTGGTTAAAATTTGAAAGATATATTTTGGCATAAGTTCGAAAAGTTAAAGAAGTTCCTGCCATGTTTAGTAAGGGAAGTCTTTGTTACCAAAATTAGTTCCTATTATACTTGCTCTTATGATTTGTTTACGTGTAGTAGGATATTGATGCTATAGGAAAGGAGCTTCACGCGCATGGCACATCACGAAAGAAAAGGAAAACTTTGGATAAGTAAGGCAAGAGAATATGTGGAGAGAGAAGAAGAGTCCTTTACATGGTAGGACTTTGGGGACATGCCATATAGAGACCAAGGATTGTGGGAGACCTATGAGATGATATAAAAACCGATCTTGAAGGTTGAAGGCGGCTGCTGAAACTAGGGCAATCATTTATCTCCTTCAAGCTTCAAGTTTCACGTTGGCTACTTGTTTCATTTTGTTCTTGTTTCGGTTCAGTTCTTGATTGATTCTATCATTGAGAAACTGATACCATTTTGATTGTATTGCTTTCAATTATTCTGAGTTGAACTTTTTGATCATTTACACTTAGGGAGTAAGTGTGAAAAATAAGTCCACGGGACGTGGCCGGAGAAGTAATTGATAGGCTAGATCATAGTTGTGGTTAGAATAGAAGGGAGTTCTATTTTGTAAATCCAAACTATGTATTCAATAGTTATCAATGAAAGAGCTCTGAGGGGAAGTGGGATACTTCCCTGAAGAGTGTTTTAAATCTTTGATTGTCGCTTCCGCAAATTACAAACTTTACAATTGTTCGTACAACAATTCAGAACACTCGGGATCATTCTATACGTTTCAATTGGCACCAGAGCAGTGTTCCTGTCTACATACGGGATAAAGATCTTTGGGACTGGGATAGGTCACCATGAGTCACGACGGACTATCCGTTTCGCGCCCTCCATTTCTTGATGGTTCGAACTATGGATACTGGAAATCCATGATGGTCATCTTTTTGCGCTCTCTGGGAAAAGGGACCTGGCAAGTGGTGGAATCGGGATGGTCATTACCGGTTATGCCGAAAGTTCCATCTGAGTCTAAAGAAGGTGAGTCCTCGGATGCAAAATCTTCAACTTCGACTACCCGTGTTCTAGTCGAAAAACCTAGAAGCATTTGGACTGATGATGAAAGGCAAGCTGAAGAAGCAAATTTTCGAGCGTTATATGCAATCATGTCGGCTGTTGATCCCACTCGTCACAAGATGATCATTCAGTGCACAACTGCACAAGATGCATGGAGGATTCTGGAAAGGCAATTTGAAGGTACAAATGCTGTGAAAACTTCGAAGCTTCAAAGGATCTCGACTGAACTCGATGAGATCCGCATGAGAGATGATGAGACTATTGATATGTACTATGCACGCTTCTGTGATCTTGTAAATCAAAGCGCAATGCTTGGAGAACATGTGTCGGAGGCAAGACAGGTGCAAAAGCTGATGAGAACCTTGCCGGACAGATTTGGGATAAAGATAACAGCATTGGAAAGTTTTCAGAGGATACAAACCCTAGGCATCGATGATCTTCTCAGTGATCTTCGCACCTTTGAGATAAATAATGGGTTCGATTCGATGAAGATAGGCAAAGGGAAAGGATTGGCGCTTAAGGCAAAAGTTCGTACCACGATTGTGGAAGAAGACGATTCGGATGAAGAATCTTTTGATGCTGATGAAATTATGAAGGCTCTTACCGTACTTACCAAGAACGTGTCGAAACTGAAGAAATTTCAGAAGAAAAGGTTCCAAGGAATCAAGTCTGGTGAAGGTGGTAAGAACCTTTTACAGCAATCCGGAGAACGGCGCTCAGGCTTGCAGCTGTCAAAATTCCAGAATGCCAATCAAGGTGTTGAAAAGGACCAGTGTAGGGAGTGTAAAGGGTTCGGGCATTTTCAGAAAGATTGCCCAAATTTCAAAAGAAAGAACAAAACGTACAAGGCCACATGGTCCGACTGCAGTGATGAGGAAGAGGAAGGAGCAGAACAGACTGAGAATTCTCTCTACTCTAACAATTTTGCAAATTGTCCTCTTAATGAATATAAATGTTTTACCTCCTCTGTACATTTCACTGATGTTGAATCCGATGCAGGTTCTCAAGCGAATGAACTATGTGATTCTGAACCAGAAGAATTCTCTGACCCTGCTGAAGAGAATCTCGTGCTCCACACTTACGCCATCGAGAAGTGTCTCAAAGCGGCGAAAATCATCAAGAAATATCAAGCTCAGACAGAGAAGATGAAGCGATTAGAACAACGATCGGCAGAACGTGAGGAAGAAGTTACTTATCTCAAGAACGAACTTCAAAATATGAGAATTCTGACCGTTGATTTGAACGAGAAACTCATTCAGTCTGACATCCAGGCAGGAAAACAAGTCAAGGATCTCAACAGTTGTCACGCTAAAATTGCTCTACTTGAACATAGCGACAAACTAAGCAAACAAGTAAGTGGTGAGAAAAACTTTAACATTGAATCCTTGCGTAATGAACTCTTTGCTTTGCAGAAACTCGTGGGAGAAAGAGAAGCCGAGATCTGTGCTTTGAAAGAAGAACTTGGGAGAGTGACTGAGGAGAGTTCGTCACTACGGAGTTATTGTTCGACCATTGAAGAGAAACTCAGCAAAAGTGATGAAGTCATTAAAATGATTAATAAACCCAAGTCGTCATTTGCTGAAGTTCAAAGGATGAGTCACCAACTGTCTACTATGGATCTGGGTAAGAATTCTCGTAATCTGAAATTGAAGGGTGAGATAGGCGAGCCAAGTGCATATCTGAAGAAGTCTGATTTAACCTTTGTAAAAGAAGGTTATTGCATAGACGACAAGAATGGTAAGCCCAATTCGACTAAAAAACTGAGTGGAAATTCGGGTAAGAATTTTGTGCCTGTA